TCTATCTATCTATCTATCTATCTATCTATCTATCTATCTATCTATCTATCTATCTGTCTATGTTTGATAAACAAGATGACAGGGTAAACTCAAGAAACTAAGTAACGTACAGATTTACTTAATGAACATAATAAACTTTAACTGGGATACCTGTTCGATGAACGGGCTCAAAAGAATCGAACGTCAAGTCATTGTGGATTTAGTGCTCACTGCTTGTGAACGGAAACCTCTCTTGTTTACAAGGGTGTCTCAGAAGACGGACTTTCCCAAAATTAGATCTAAACGAAACTAATAACAAACTGAATATTAAACTACAGTGACTCCAGACTCCTTAATATAACTGTGCACCCTTTAAATGATTCTGAACTACTTTTAATTTTTTTCAAATTTTGATTCGAAAGTTATGTGGTTCTGAAGTTTTAAGCAACCAAACTGATGAATTTACTCAAACATAATACATGTGATATGTGTACTGAATAAACAGGATAAATTCATGTTAGTAATAAGGTGACAAAGTAAACATGATAAACTTTAAGTCAGATATCTATCTATCTATCTATCTATCTATCTATCTATCTATCTATCTATCTATCTATCTATCTATCTATTTATCTATTTATCTATCGATCTATCTATGTATCTATCTATCTATCTTGGATAAACATAACAGCAAGATAAACTCAAATAAATTACAGATTTACTTGACAACCATGATAAACTAAAGTCTGTTATTCTTCATCAGGATGACATATTATTCAAGTCAGTTATAGATTTACTCGATAAACATGATAAACACAAGTCAGTTGCAGATTTATAGGATAAATATGATAAATTCAAGTATCTTAGATTCACTGGATAAACATGATAAACTCAAATTTTTTATATAGATATATTGGATTTATTACCCACAGAAGACTAGTAAAAACGTAAGTCAATTATAGATTTACTGTATACACATGAAAAAAATTTAAGTCAACTGAAGATTCACAGGACAAACAAGATAAACCCCAAGACAGCTTTACGCATAAGTATTTGCGGAGAAATATGCAATGTTTGACTCATGATAAGAAGTTGATAAGAGATATATGCACAACCTTTACCTATTCGTTAAGGAAATATTATTTATCAAATGAATGTTTTGTGCGATGTGATGTGGGCCAATGGTCTTAAACACTGAATAAATTCACTTACTTACTTACGGATCTCCGTAATTTTTCGATTCACTGGATAAACGTAATGAAATCTAGTCAGCCATACATTATTCACTGAATATACTTGATAAACTTAAATCGATTATGAATTCATGGCATTAACTTAATCAGTGGGAGAAATAAAATGGAGTAAAAATGTTGAAACAGTTTTAAGATTTACAGAATAAATACGATAAAAACCAAGTCAGAGGTTTACTGAACAATCACGATCAATTCAAGTCAGTTATAGATTTGCTGGACGAACCCAATGAACCGACAATAATTAGATATTTCACGAATAAACATCATAACCTAGGAATGATATTGTACTCTTTCTCCATAGCGTACTCACTGAACGTTGGAATAGAGTGTAACATTAGCTGGAAGAACTACCTGAATTTCCCCACAGTTAGTTGAAGTACATACATTAAACGATAGTTAATAGGTGTGGGATTTTCCCCACTCTGTAGCCTACCACTTTGCTTATCACCTCAGCCCATCTCCTTGTGCCAATTAACTTGACGAGCTCCTTATTATGTCCTTGTCAAATCAAAGCCGCAAGTCTCTTTTCCCCGCACTTATTGAACGTTATTGTGTCGTCCGCCTCGTCCTCCTCATTTTATTCTCCCCCCTACGCCTCTCCTCCTCCTCATTCCCTTCCTTCTCCTCCCCATACCCTTTTCCTCCTCCCCCCCCCCCACCATGCCCATTCTCGTCCTTATCCCCTTCTTCCTCTTCTCAACCCCCTCCTCCTCCACCCAATACCCATTCTCTTCCTCATCCCACCTCCTCTTCCTCCTCCCCCCCCCCCCCCCCCCCCCCCCCCCCCCCCCCCCCCCCCCCCCCCCCCCCCCCCCCCCCCCCCCCCCCCCCCCCCCCTCCCCCCCCCCCCCCCCCCCAATCGTCTTCCTCGTCATCCTCTCCTTCTCTTCCCCCACGTCCCGTACATCCTCCCCATCAACTTGACCTCCCCCTCATCCCCCTCCTCCGCTTCATCTTCAATATACCCTTCTCCTATCCCTCAACAACCTCTTCATCATCCCCTCCTCCACCTCCACTTTTTCCTCCTTCTCCTCATCCACGCCCTCTTTCTCCTCTTCGTCCTCCTCCTCCTCCTCCTTCTCCTCACCCCTTTCTCCTCCTCATTCCCCCTTCTCTCTCTGGGCCATCTCATCCCCCTCCTCCTGATCTTCCTCCTCATCCCCCCTCCTCTTTCTCCGCCTCTGCATCCCAATCCTCCTCCTCCTCCCTTCCCTCCTCGTCCTTTCTCCTCCTCCTCCTCGTATAGCGTTTATAAATTAAACAAATCCCTGTACTGTCTCCGTTGAAAGCCACAGCTCCCCGTCTATCGATCTCACTCGTGAGCTGACTTTGACTTCACCCCGTCATTTAATTAACTCTTCTCGTAGCTTGCGAAGTTACCTTCATCTTGTCCTTCGGTGAACTTGATGAATGGAGGGTGATCAGTAGGTAGGTTCTACTTCTTTTATTTTCCCCTCTGTTGTTTCTGTCTGTCTGTCTGCCTGCCTGCCTGCCTGCCTGTCTGTCTGTCTGTCTGTCTGTCTGTCTTTCTGTCTGTCTTTTTTTTTCTCAGCGAGAAAAGATCATTATTTTGTCGACGTGCTTCTCTAAAACTTAAAAACAATTTGCGGGTGGTTGAAGGAGCCCCCGGTGGGTCCTACGTTTCTGGGTTGTTGTTTTTTTTACTTTCCCTCTGTTTTATCTGTTTGTCTTACACCCCCCCCCCCCCAAATATACTAAATGACCATTATTGAGCCGATGTGCTTTACTTTACTCAAACAAAGGACTTGAAAGCTTCCAAGGCTTTTCCCTGTATGCAGTTCATTTTATAACTGCGGGGCAAACCGCCCTCACATATACTAATTAGCCTCTTATTTCCATTATCAAACTTTTCAGCGCGGTGGTTGGCCTAGATTGTCTTTAGAATCAGGATGTATTTTTCTTCAACGTAAAAGCTTCAAATCTTTCTCTCCATCCTCCTCGTCGATAACATTATCCCTTTACTATTTTTCAGTTTAAGATATTACGTTTTAATTATAAACACGCGCGCGCACAAACACACACACACACACACACACACACACACACACACACACACACACACACACACACAGTTGTTTCAAGACTTTTAGTGAGAGCGTACCGTTGGTGTCATGCCGGATAACAGAGCAGATGGCTCTGGTTCAAATCCCCAACGGCGCGTTCTCAACGTAGGATTGTAGTTGGGTTTTTTTCGGAGGAGTTTTGTTTAGGCTTTCATCGTATAATTCGAAGGTCATGCCTCTTAGATAAATAAATAATGAATGAATGAATGAATGAATGAATGAATGAATGAATGAATGAATGAATGAATGAATGAATGAACGAATAAATAACAACAAACAAACAAAAAAATAAATAGATAGATAATAAATAAATAAATAAATAAATAAGTAAACCAATAAACAAATGAATAAATAAATAAATAAACAAACAAATAAATAAATAAATAAATAAATAAATAAATAAAAAATAAAAAAATAAAATAAATAAATAAATAAATAATACAAAAACTTCACAGGTCATAGATGACGGGGCCGGCCACAGTTTCCTACGTCAGAAAAGTCTGGAGGAGGACTTGAGCCACCTCATCATTCCTTTCGACTATCAGTGCGTGGGTGAAGGTCGCTTCCTGGTCACCTACATACCTCGCAGCGCGGGACTCCATTACATCACAGTGCTCTCTCAGGGTGACCATATACAGGGAAGCCCTTTTGAAGTGAAAGTGAGTACTGGAACTGTGGCATGCTTATTTTCTGGGAATATTTTGTTTTCTTTTTAGTTAGGGGCGGATGGTGGTTTTTGTTTTGTGTTTTTTTTAAAGTTTTTATTTTGTTTTCTTTGTTTTGAGCAGAACTTCACTTGATACCTAACTACATTACATTACAGTGTTATCATATTTGGCTATACATAATACATGTGAGCCTTTTTTAAGTTTTCCTGATTTGTTTCAACTCTTTTATCTTGTTGTTTTTGCTTTCACTTATATTGGGGTTTTGTTGTTGTTGTTTTGTTGTTGTTGTTTTGTTGTTGTTTTTTTTGTTGTTGTTGTTGTACTGTGTTGTTTTTTTTGGTCGCTTTTCATTACATTACAGCGTTATCTCGAGATGGCAATATACAGGAAAGTCCCTTTCATGTAACAGTTTTACACTTTTTTTCTAGTTTATCTTTATGTAAGTATTTGTTTTGTCTTTTGTTTTGTTTTGTTTGTTTGTTTGTCTTTCGTAATGAGAATGTTCTGCCCTTTAAAAAAATTTTCTTTTTGCCTTTTCATTTATATATATATATATATATATATATATATTGCATTTGGTTCAAAGGCTGGCCTAATTATAGAGCATTCCATGTAAAATGAACCTGCAGTGATACACATAACCGGTAGATGATGACTTCCTGAAAAAAAGAGAAAATAAAACTTGCCTTATAACAGTTGGGAAATTTTTCATGCCTTATGTGTAGGCTAATCACAACAGTTTCATTATCATGGAATGGCCCTACAGCACATGCAATTACATAACTTCACAACGACATGACGACGATTGTATGATCACCGTAACCGCACGTACCTTGGCTTACTTCTTAATCCAGATTGCCTTCATGCCGACCTGATAAGTCTCTTCAACTCTGATATAAGCCTTGGTGAATGGTTCAATACTCAGTTCATCATTCTTGTCACGAAATCCCTTGTAAAGATATCATTATTCTGTGACACATACGGTACACTTTCAGAAGAATAAATCTCAACTTCGCTTCCTCAGAATTACATAGTTCTACCTGCTCAGTAGCTAGTTTTGAGATATTTTGTATTAGAAAATTTTTAGTTTCCCAATCAAGCTTTTTCGAACGCAATCTTTGAATAATATGTTGATAACGACTCAGAATAACCTTACGATTTTGATAGAACCGACAGAGAATATAATTTTTGAGCTTGCGGTCCTAGTTACTCAAAAAGGCCAAAAATGTCAGAGAGAACTTGGTAATTTTGAGGTAACAACTTGTTCGTGTACGAGGTTTAAGTACAGAAACACATGTGACAAACTCCATGGCTAAATGCACATATTCGTTGACAGCAAATTTGAGAAAAAATATTTTTTTAAATAACTCCAAGGTATTCTCTAAAAACAAAAGTATGAACGAAGCGCAATTTTATCACATTAAATATTTACGGATATAGTGCACAATTTTGAGAGAGAAAACTATTCTTATCAAATGGCCTGATTTTTGGCGTTAATCGTGTCTTGCAATGGAGCTTTTGAATTCGTTAACTTAGAATTCAAAAGCTTTATTTGCTTTAGTGACTACTTTTTGAATTCTGAATTCCTCAACGTGTCAAGTTTTTTCGAATGAAATTTTTAAATATCTTGATGATGACTCCGAATAATCTTACAATTGTGATAGAGCAAATAGAACATTTGGTTTCTGACCTCAAGGCCATAATAGCACAAAACAGTCGAAAATGTCTGATAGAACTTTGTAATTCTAAGGTAGCACTTGTACTTTTAAGGTTTCTTCTGAAATTTTCTCATTATTTAATCTTTGTACGCACCACCAGTTCCCTACTAACCAAACGGGCATTCGTCAGAAAAGTAATCTACTATCACGTCTTATATACTTGTGTCTTGGATGAAACCACCACGCGGGTGGTTAGAGGGCGCCACTGGCATGCCCCTCGCCTTTAACTTCCTCCTGTTGTTTCTGTTTGTAAGTTTTGCTTTTTCCCAGCAATTAGGTATGATGTCGATGTGTTTCTCTTTACTCAAACAAGCAAAGTGGCTGGTTAGCGGGTGCTCTTGTGAAGTTTGCTTTTTCTTTCCATCACACATCTATCGTCGTTATCTCTCCTCCTTCTTTTTGTTTTCGCTATTTTCTTGTACACCCTTAATCGGTGACACTTATATAGTATACCCCAACAGAGTTGCAGGTGCAGTAAAACCATTACTAACACAAACAAACAAACAGGCAAACAAACAAACAAACAGTAACTACCATAACTATTTTTTGTGAACATATAGGTAAGTGATTGGGTGAGCTCTTGGAACATCGTGCCAAAGCCTCGGGTAATTCCCTTCGACATGCTCCAGGCCATTGACGAGACGCCCAAAGATTCCCTCAAGCCAGTGTCTCCGGCGGATAGAATACGCGTAAGTTTTGAATTTGTGTCTCTGGAAACAGAAACTCTGTATTTCCTCAGTATCATTCCTCAGGTGAATAATGTGCCATATTCTAAGTTTGGAAAAGATTATTATTATTATCGAGAAGAGAACGTCCAAATCAGAGTCAAGGCTTGAGTACTCGTTATTTTTTTTCAGTTGGAGAAAGTTCAGGAAAATGAGAAAATCCAAATCAGAACAATGAGTTGGATACTCGTTATTTTTTAGCCTGCAAAGTTTTGTAAAAGGGCATTCTCTAAAAATGGAACCATGTCTTGCGTGCTCTTTATTTTTCAGTTGTTACAATTTAGCGAGGAAAGTACTCATAAGAACGAAGATATTGTTTGTCATAAGCTGTCTCTTATTTGATGCCTTTATGCGAACGACGATTGAATCCGGAATCACCTGGAATTGATTTGGGTGGTTGTAGATGGATACTTCTGATACCCCCCCCCCCCTTCTTCTCCTTCTTTACTAAAAGAACCCTCACCCACCCACCTTCTCTCTCTCTCTCTCTCTCTCTCTCTCTCTCTCTCTCTCTCTCTCTCTCTCTCTCTCTCTCTCTCTCTCTCTCTCTCTCTCTCTGTGTGTGTGTGTCTCTCTCTCTCCCTCTCTCAGTGTCTCTTTCGCTCACACACTCACTCGGTCTTCTTCTTCCTTTACACCCTTGGTCTGTAGGTTGGTAAGACCAAGTACCTAGTCTTCTCGGATAAGAATGAATCATTTCAGAGGTACATGTGTACGTTGCACCCCGTCAAATATTCCTTAGTGGTTGAAAACTGTAGAAGGGTAAACCCGTAGGCCGCCACCTGGGCACAATTGAACAATTCCCTGCTATGAAAACCATTCATATTACACCTGTGTAACAGAAAGATACATCTTTCCGCCTTCACTGATTCCAAACATACTGACCATTTTTCTGCTTTGGAGAATATCAAGGAAGTCACGATCTGAAAGGAGAAAAATCACTGGTATTTAAGCAATCTTCTTTCTCTGTGTCTACTGCCTAAGCACAGCTGTGTTGTACATACTGCCTTTGTCATCATCAGTTATATCGAAGGACAGCTGAAAAAGGAGAAGAAGGAACGTGACTTGTGTAATTGATTTAACTATTATGTGTGTCCTTTTTCGGTATCGTTTTCTTCTCATGTTAATGTGAGCGGTTGGTGGATACTTTAATGTGGTTTGCCCCTTCTTCTCAATCAAACATCTATCATCCTTATCTCTCCTCCTTATTTTCTTGGATTATTTCTTTCTAGTAACACCTCTAATATTCGGCACTTGCATGACTTAACTGTGTTGCAAGTGCCGTAAAGCTCTTACTAAACTAAAAACTTACCTCTCACTTCTTGCCTCAAATCTGGTAAAAGTCTAACTAAAACTGAAACTTAAACTTTAATCTTCGGCACTTAAGACCTAGTTATGTCGCTAGTGCCGTAAAACGCTTCTTACTTAAACTGAAGCTCGTGTCCACAGCGTAAGCTGAGCCATGTCGCCAACGTGTCTAAGCTGATGATGAAGAGGAGGATTCTCAAGAAAGTGATAACTCAGGGAGGGGAGAAGATCATCTGTGACGTCACGCCCTCCCCCACCCTGTCACGCCAGAGCAGTGTGTCAGACATCTCCGAGGAAGAGAAACAGAGGGAGGACAAAGGTGTGTGTATGTGCGCACGTGTGTGTGTGTGTGTGTGTGTGTGTGTGTGTGTGTGTGTGTGTGTGTGTGTGTGTGTGTGCGCGTGTTTGCGTTTGTGTTTGTATTTGTGTGTGTGTCTCAGAAAGATGGTTTGTAGAAAGAGATAGATGGACAGAGAGAGAGAGAGAGAGAGAGAGAGAGAGAGAGAGAGAGAGAGAGACAGGGAGAGAGAGAGAGAGAGAGAGAGAGAGAGAGAGACAGGGAGAGAGAGAGAGAGAGAGAGAGAGAGAGAGAGAGAGAGAGAAAGAGAGAGAAGACAGACAGGGGAAGATATATAAATAGAGAATGAGAGACATACTAATATTATAACAGCTGTAATGGATACAGCTGAAACAAATGGACGAATAGACAAATTAGCGGGCTGTTTTGAGCGCCAGGTTATTTGGGGTGGGGTTAGAAAGGGGGAAGGGGGGGGGGTGATGGTGGTGCAAAATGAAGTACTGATGTAGAATTGTAAAACGAAGGAAATATGGGGGATGAAGACAGAGATGCAGACAGAATGCCGGACGAAAGGCTTGTGAAGTTAAAAGGTTGCAAGAAATAATTCGAGGGCTGTCCCAGAAGTAACAAGAAAATTGCTGTAGAATTAAAAGTATTGTCGTGATTGAGATATTGCTTAAACAGTTAGTTGGCTAAACAATCCCTTTATTCCTCTAAGCAGTCCTCATGAACAATCAAGTATTATCACGTACTTTTTCCATTTCTGGATGAATAAATGCATGCCATCCCTGTAAAATTTGGTCCAGCATTTGCCATATTCATTGTGATGTAGTAAAATGATTGCATTCATTTTGTTCATTTTATTAGTACACGTACATTGTGCATCCCTTGAACTACTAGAAACGCTTTACAGAACGAAACAATAATTGAAAATGATTTAAATAAGGCCATTTTCCTGTTATTTCTTGGACAGCCCTGACAGTAGAAGAAAGAGGAACATTTTATCATGAAACCAGAAAACATCTTTACCGAGTTTATAACTCACAGCTTTTTCTTTTTCCTGCGACATGCTGTTTTTTTACGGAACCAGCATTGTCAAAATCCAGATCTGTGCCTTCAGACGTTACGCTCTCCACAAACCCAGGAAATGTCGACACTGAAGCCGAAGGATCTACTACTGTCAATCGGCCAAAATCGGCCCCACCAGACCAAAAGGACTTGAACTCGTCCCCTGCGCGTAAATGTGGCACCAGCGGCAACTCACAAAATCAGTCTCTAAGTGGCCCAGGAGACAAGGCAAGCGTCCCTTCAGTAAAAGATTGTTCTGGTACTATAGCGTCAGGAATTACTACGTCTTCTACGTCACATGCCGATTTCGCCACTACCGCTTCTTCGTCGTTATCAAGAAGCACTGACTGCACTGACGACGTATCAGGAACGTCGGCAATAAATGTCTCAAGCGACTCGTCTTCTTCAGCGAACAGCAGGGCGGAACAAGGCAACAAAAACACAACAGCAAAGAGTGCAGCCTGCTCGATCGAATTCAAAATAACCCAGCACGAAGCAGAGGGTCCAGGCGACGTGCCGTTTACGAAAGCGCCCCAAAACAGTGTATCGGATACAATTGACGGCCTGTACGTCGCACCAAAAGAACCCACAAATATCCATGACGTTATCCAGACGGTAATGAAACTTGCCAAACAACGTAACTCTAGCTCTCAAACCCCTCTACTGTCGTCTTCGGAGAAGATGCTGTCCGACCCCAATATCAGATTTCGATCTCCGACCACAACTGGAAAGGCGTTAAGTCTTGACCGTGGACTTTCAGCGTTAGGGTCCCGGGACAGACAATTCTTTGACTCACCAGAGGTGTCCCCAACGCCCAAGAATACTTTGGCGAATGTTGAAGACAAAACTATCTGTTCCCTTCTCCCTACGCCGATAATTCTCGTTTCTGCTGCGACTCCAGAAAGGAAGGTGAAGAGAATTGACGAAGAAGAAATACAAGAAGTAGACGAACAAGCGGATCCAGCTATTGAAGCCAGTGCGCCTAACAGGGACAGTAAACTCAACCAATCTCTTGCCACAGTAGATAAGCCTTCTACAATTGTTTCACAAGCAGACTCAAGTCCTACAGGTGTACATCCTGAGGAAAAAATTACGGCAGAGGATAGAAAGAAAAGCACGCAATCTGAAACTGCTTCTAGTACCAGTACTACCACTTCTACTTTCGAGAAGATTGGAAGCAATTTAGAAAGAGTTGATAGTGAGAAGGGAAAAAATGAAAACGATTCTAATACAACAAAGCAAAGTGCGGGTAGTTTCTGTGAACCGAGATCGCCTAATAAGCGGAATCAGAGTACAGGCAGTCTACATGAGCCCAGACTACCAGAAAGGAAAGAACAGAATACAGGTAGATCAGGTGAACCTGGACAACTGGAAAAAAGAAAACAAAGTACGGGTAATTTATGTAAACCAGGGTTACCAGATAAGCACGGGAACACAAACAACCAAATGATGTGTGCGTTATGTCGCTCTTCACAGGGCGAGGGTAAAGACCCTTTGCTAGAAGCCGTAATAGTTAGTGAGAGTCCTTGCAGTGAAGTATGTTCTTTGTGTTCTTCTCCTGTTTCGCCATTGTTGGAGAAGGCGCAAATTTCTGCTCAAGATGACGTAGGCGAAGTACAGCGAGACCCGTCGTCGCGCAAATCTCGGTCTGACGAAGCCTTGTCCATAATAATACCATCTCCACATCTCTCGTCGCGGTCGGAAGAGAAGATGGTCGATGGAACAAGTGACATCAACTCCTCAAAGTCCCCTTTCTGTTCTTTGTGCGCTCTTTCGAACTTCGAAGAAGTCTGTGGAGGGGGCGGGGTAGATGGTGTCCTGGAGAGGTCCCGAGGAAGCAGTTGCTGCAGCTGTTGTGACGTCTCATGTGACGTCATCTGTGACGCCGGAGAGTGCTGCTCTTGCTGTTCTTCCGCTTCTGGCAGTGAAACAGAGGGTGTGGCACATCATTGTGAGGTGGGTGTGTACACAAGAACAGGAACACTTCTGGGTACAAGTGAATGTGAGCAATATCAATCAGAGTATCCGAACACAGACCGTTGTGAAGGAAAAGTTGAATCTGAAAATGATCCGCCAACCCAGTATTCATCTCAAATTTCCGTCAAAGAAAAATGCTCGGAAAACGAAACCGACTTGGAGAGAAACGAAATCCTTTCAAAGATGACCAGTAACAATAATAGCAGTAAGGAGAGATCCGGAAAGGCACCCCTAAGAAGGGATATTGCTCTGTCCGAGGCCATCGAGAATCGTAGCAGAAAGAAGGTATGCAAGAGTAGCTCTGCAGGAGATTTGCCCCAACACAAGATTACGTGGTCAACACATCGAAGTCTGTCTGATGAACGTTATTTTAGATGGGCGTTGTCGCGATCGTTCAATACGAAGAGTCGCGGTAAAAACAGTCTCTTGGCTGCAGAGGAAGATAGTCGTGATGAACGCATCGGTTCGGGGCTGTCAGCAGATGTAGAGGTCGAGAGGACAACGTCAGCTTCAGCAGGACTCGGTGAAAACGTAAGTAGTTCCGAGATTGTTTCTCCCAGTCCTTCATCAACCACGACTACAGGAAAATCTCATAAGGCAAGAAATGCGAGGACTTTGTCCAGTAGCTCAAGTGGAGACTCGGGTAGAGAAAGAACGAAGTATCAAGTAAGCATTTTGAGGGCGGATAGGAGAAACGTCTTTGCAGACTTCGAGTCTAGATCAAAAAGTGGCTCGTCAGGTCGCTCTTTCCTGACTCTAGGCACAAGGTCTGTGTCACTTCCGGATCACCTCCCCGACAACGTCACTTCCGAGTGGGAGAATAGGCCGATCGAGCCCCTCGCAGATGATCTCATGTCCAGACAGTTACGTTTGGCTCAGATGAAAAAATGGAGCACGTTTGATGTCGTTGAAGACACAGAACAAGATGAGAATGGTGCGTTGTTTGAAAATCCCGAAAGAACTGACGTGCAACACGAAATGGCATCATCACGTTTTGAAGGATCAAATGATGGATATAGTAATGTAGAGGATGATGACGACGACGAAATACTTCAAGTGGTTATTGAGTCTGGTTTTAATGACTTAAATGATGCAGATGAGGAATCCTGCCACCCAAAGTTGCCGATGAGTACAAATACAGGGGAACACAATTTGTCACCCAGCGCTTTGGAAAGCTATTTGCCTTCCTCGGAAGACGGTTCACCTATTATTGAAGGTCAACCCATGTTCAGAATTTCGTCCCCTGGCAACAGCAACACGGGGATATCGCCTCTGTCCGCGCTGACAAGTAAATCTGGGAACAGCGACTGGTCGGACACTGATGACGTTGTTCCAGCAAACAAGAGAGACTCCAGGTTTTTTGGGAAGGGTGACTGGTCGCCTCAATTTTTTGATCTCCAGTGTCATGGAGATACGAGCAAGGAACAAAATGTTGATGCTCCTCCACCTTCTACGCTCTCTGTCAGTCACACAGACAACCAATTGTTGTTGGGTCCTGACAGTAGAAGCAGATATCGATCACACCCTGGACAACTTCGTCGAAATTCAAAATCATTCATACCTGTTAAGGAAGAAAGTGGGGACTGGGCTTCAGATACTAAAGATGACTCTGGGAGTATGGAAGACATGTCATTTCAAAGTTCTCTTCCAACGGAAGGGACGCAAAAAACGAGTAACACATCCCAAATGCACATGTCTGTTTCAGAGAAAACAAATGCACCTTCCTATTTGAAAAAGCACTTGCAAGGAATATATGTGCCAAAAGGGGAAGAAACTGGAAACAGTTTTGACATGAGTGGTAATCAAACTCCAAGTCATTTACCTAAAACAAACCAAAATGTAAATGAACTTAGACAACCCACAGACTGCGATGCAACATGTTACCCAAGAAAGCGTATGCGAGCTGTGTACCAGGAACATTGCGACGAAACCAACAAAGACGCTGAAAATGACAACGAAAGAGTCTTCACCAACATTCGTTATGACCCGCAAATTGAGGACAGCCGGAATGTAACTGCAGCAGGTTTAGGGGATGATGGTAAAGAAAACGATTTGCACAAAGACTGTGGGAGCTCAGACAATCAAGCCGAACTCGATGAAGATTTTATGACGTTTTGTGATAACATCCTGAGAGATTATATGCCAGTCGAAAGGTCTGCTGTTGAAAGCAAAACTGGTAAAATGAGCATGAGTGAAGCAGACAGGACAGGGGATGGTCGTATTCGTAACGAGCACCCATCGGATAAGAATATTTTTTCTTCTCTTGGAATGTTGTCTCCAGAATTTCAGCCAAAAAAGGAAGACTTTATTCCTTTGCCATTTTGCCAAGGGCCTGATGATTTCTGGTCCTCTGTGTGTTTCTGTACGGAATGTGTAGCTGTAGAAATGGCCAACGCTGAGTCGCATAAGTATGAATCGAAGCACTACTTTCAAGAGAAGACCATCACACCAATCAAATACCGCAACATGGAAGAGTTCTCATTTGAAGGTGATTTTGATAATTTACACAAAAACCCAACTGGGAAGACGGGAAATACTCGTTATAAACAATCTGGTTCTATTCATTTGGGACCAGGCGAGCGAACACTTACTCCTACAAAATATCGTCTTAAAAAAGATGCGAGAATAAACAGCAGTGATGTTAACACACAACTTGACTGGCACATCAGGGATACTGACGCTTTCAAGCAGTCGCAACTGTACAGTAGAAATCACGCTACTCCTGATGTTGTACCTATCTATGTTCAAGACTCAACACCCACGATGAATTATAAGCCATCAGTAAGTACAAACAAAGACAACAAAGTCCTCAATGTTACACAAGGCCGACAGTCGGAGGAATCTCCAAATGACGTCAGTTGTGAGGTCACGCCGGTCGTCAGAAAAAGGCGAAGGTTCGTGAAGGTCAAATCCGGAAGTAGCTCAGATGAGAAAGGAGAGAAAAATCATGTCGCCAGGCAACGAGTCAAATCTGGGGAGACAAACACCTCAGCCGGTATCGGCGGCAGGGATGGTATCACAAGTCACGGACGCGGAAATGTAAGGAACAAAAGCAGTAGGAAACTCCAGAGCTACAGTCGGTGCTCTGGTAGCAGCAGCAGTACAACTCCTGAGAATACCAGTCTAGGAGATAGTGATGAGGTCAACAACAAAAACTCCTTAAGTACCCAAACTAAGAGTCAATCTCAAATTCGTCACCATCACCAAAATCACCTTCATCGTCAGCAGCAGCAGCAGCAGCAGCAGAAACAACAAAAGGAAGGTATTCAAACATTACACTTCTACAACAGTAGATTTGTTCAACGAACAGAGACAAAATCTACTGCGATCAATCTCGAAAGCTCTAAACGGTGCGATCAGAGTGCGACATGCTTCGACAGTGTCCAACATGAAATCAACAGGACGCAGACAACAGAAAACAACTGTGGAACGTCTCAAACCCCACTGCAGTCTACGTCTGTTGATTCAGAACAACAAAGAGGAACCGTTAGGAGATACAGTTTACAAAAACAAAACTCAGGTCACCATCATCCACACGAAAATAATAACATTCAGAGCGAAACAGGCTCATACCATCAGCATTATCACCCATATCCTCGTCATCAACATCATCGTGATCATCGTCAAGAACAACCACAGCACCAAAAACAAGCTGCTTACCGTCATCATAAAAAGCCACAACAGAACCAACAGCAAACTCTAGACAGTGACCAAGTGTCCAAGAACTTCAGACCTGGCACGTTTTCTTCGTCTTCTCGCCAATACGGTGTTCAGGAAGAAGAAAGTTCCGGAGAGCTAAAGTGTTTTTCTGAGCACAACGACAAATTTTCCACCATCCCACAGCTGAGTGGTGCTAAACGGCGAGATTTTGGCCCATCTGGTTTTACGCGTCTCAGCTCTCAGAAGCTGCAACAGCAGCAGCAACTACACCACCACCACCACCACTACCAGCAGCAGCAGCAGCAGCAGCAGCAGCAGCAACATCATCATCATCATCATCAGCAGCAGCAGAAGGATCATCACCAGAAACCACAGCAACAACGTTTTGAGCCCGCTCACTCCCAAAGAGATGAACTACTTCAGACATCTCCCCAACATAACCCCCCTGAAGAACTGATGCAGATCGAACGACAGGAGATTCAGGGCGTGTACCACCGACACCTGCATCATCTACATCGCAATGGTCACCACCATACTCAACACCACCAACTCCAACACCACTCCCAACAACAAAACCAACAACATATTCAACGAGAACAGCAGCAAAAACTGCAACAACAACCACAGAACAGCGATAACTCTAAGGAAAAATCCCAACTACGACTCCAACAACAACTGCATCAGAAACTAAAACATGACGACGATGAACACCAACAGCCCCATCACCAAAAACAACAGCAACCACAACAACCTCCACCACCACCACCAAAGCATCAACAACACCAGCATCAACAACAGAAACAACAACAGCAGCAGCAGTTACTACAACAACAACAGCAAAAGCAACAACAACATCAGCAGCAACAGCAGCAGCAGCAACACCAGCAGCAGCAGCAGCAGCAACAACAACAACAGCAACATGTATTACAGCAACGACAACAACCTCACCATGACCAGAACCACCAACAGCCTCGGCCAGACAGGAATGTACCAGCGTACTTCCGCAGAGAGTCCTCCGTTGACACATTCGACAGCGCGTTCACCGAGGACAGCTCCAACTTCTCCACCTCCCTTCTCAGCATGACTTACAACGAGACACTGGACAGCGGTATTCTAGAAGACAGTCTTAACTTCTCTTTCCAGTTGCCCTGAGTGAAGTCTGTACTAGATCTAGTCAGAAACGGGGTGTCTGAATAAGTTTGTTAGTGATTTGTGGTATTGCAAATTATGAAGACTGCAGTGGAAAAACCTGATGAGTCTCAACTTCAATAAATAATAGGATATTCCCCTTTGTTGCATTCTTTAGAAATCCAAATTTCTTCTCCTAAAATAATCTCACGGATAACCCAGCTAAATCCTGTGCTATGTAAGATAACGAAGATGTCATATCTTCTGCTTCCCAGGAGGTCGAGCTTGTTTCAGAATGCTTTCAGGTCTACTGGGGTAGTAGTATAGATTGTAAAGCGCATAGAGCTTGCTGTTGAGTGGGAGTTTGCGTTATACAAATAATATGTATTATTATGCTCACTATAAGGGCCTTTCAAACTTTGAATTCCTATTTTTCCACTCTCTTAAAATGTGACTCAACTTGTTTGTCCACTGGAATGTTCACATAATGGTATATATTATATATGTGAGGCAGCGTGGGGCAATCAGGTTCTCGTCAATTTTTGGGCCATTTAGAGTTATTGGTATCATCTTAAAGCTTGTCCGCTTGTCTTTACTTGGATGGGGAAAAAATATCCATTTATCTTGAATACAAGTCGAGACATTTGAGAAAGAAGGAGGTGGGGATCACCTTTTTTCAGAGGTAAAATTAGTGAGAAAATGGCCGCCAAAGATTAGTTATTTCCTTAGCTTAAGAGTCCGTGGTAACTGAAAATTTACATTTTTTTGTGCCTTTTATCAACGTTTTTCAGAAAAATATGCAGAGAAATGGGCATAAAAGATGTTGAATCGAAAACAAAAAATTTGATAAAAATTCACAAACTTGCGGGAAAATGCACGTTTCTTCACTTTGATTATTTTGACGAGAGCCTGATTCCACCACGCTGCCTCACATACTATGTGATGTTGATATCCCCTTGATCTCTTAGTTCTTGTCTGATCAGCCGTTCTGAAACTTTTTTTTTTTTCTGGTTTTATTTCTCGATCACGTTTATTGTAATCGACCATTGGAAACAATCTACGATATTATTATAGTTATGTTTTGAGCGTTGAAAAATTAGGGATTGTTGGGTCTCCCTGAACAAATTGTAATGTCTTTAGGGCACCTATAGAATTGAAATCGTCATTCTTTTTTAACAAAGGATTGGGGCATAGCGTAATAATTTAAAAACGTACATGACGTAACAAAGACCACATGTGGCCCAAAACAGAGTGAAGACTGTGTGTGTGCGTATTAGGTCGAGTTAGTTCGGAATGGAAGGCAAATGTTTACTTTTACTGTCAAATATGTGTAAATTATAACAGAAAAACATTATTTCACTTTCTCGTAATAAATTGTTATATGTACATGTTTTGGGTCGAAGTCGTTCAAGTGTCCGTGATGGAGTGGACGTAACATACAGGCTGTTTGGCCGCCATCAGGGCAGACTTCAAAATTCAAAATCTCCTAACTATAAAGAATATCTCTATCACACGTCGTGTAAATTATAGTAAGACACGCGCTTACGCCAATTTCATTCCAAACATATTGACTATACTTTTCCTGTGGAGCGTATGAGAGAAGTTAAGTCCTGAAGGGAGAGACGAAGTACTTTGGCAAACTGCTCCCTCTGTACTTTGTGTCTACCTCTCAGGCAAAGCAGTATCATGCCTGCTGCTTCCATCATCATAGATGTCGATGGATGTAATATAACTGCTTTCCAAATAATCAATCAATAATACAATTCGTGATTCAAGCTCCTCCCTTTGTCTTCATCACATGTCAAGGCTTCACGGCAGTAGAAG